CCAAGAGAACAGTTGAAAAATTAAAACTAAAAATTGAAATAATTTTCGAAAAAAAAAAGAATTTTTTTTCTCAACAAGAGGAAAAAAAGCTGAAAAAGATTTGAAAACTTGAGAGAGGGGAGGACTCATAGGAGGGGAACAGGGGGCAGATAAAGTAAGAGCACACCGCAAAAGTGTAGCGCACAGCATCTTTCGATTAAGGTGCTCTAAGTTTTAAACCGTCTAAAGTTACTTTCTCTCACTCCTGCATCTGAACTTGGACTACTGCAATTTCTTGAAAGAAAAAGTTTCTTAAGCAAGCTTCATGATCAAACGACTCCATTAATTGATTGAAGAAGTGTGAGTATGAAACTTTAATTTCCCAGGGAAGATTTACCAAATGATGGCTTTGAATAGTGAAAAGGGGAAAAAAACATTTCTACCCCTCAAAATCAGTGTTCAAAAAAATATTACACTTCAAATTTTGCAATACTGATAGCTTACGAAAAATGTATATTTCTAAATTACTTAATTGACAAATTTTTCAATTAACTATAATTATTTAACTATTTTTTAATTAACTATAATTTATTTATTAATTTTATCATATATTTATTTATTTGTTTATAATTGTATGCGTGACATTACAATATCAGCAAGACTGAATAATAAAGCAAACATGTGTTCAGGACTTTGATTAAACTTGGTAAATAACATCGATTAGTATGAACTCGATGAAGTGTTGAATTTAGTTTGTTCTACATCGAGTCAATAATTAATTATTGAAAGATTGTAAATTTACTAAACAATAATTGGTACTGTTTCAAGTTACAGTAGAAGCATGTGTTTATAATTGAGAACTAAAATTTCACTTTCGCCAAACTTTCCAGATTGTTTAATTGAGTTATGAAACATTTTATTATATACCAACATCTTCGAATATTCACAAATAGCACCGATAAGCTTGTAACAAGCTTGCAGCAAGCTAGAAGTGCAATATTGCAAAAAATTACAACGCAAAATTGCCAGAAGCTTGCCTGCTACAAAAATTTAATTTTGCATTTCCCTGACTTTTCCCTGATTTCCAGACAAAATTTTGTCTTTTTCCCTGACCCTAAAGAATATTCTGATTCACTCCAAAAATTATTAGACACTCAAAAAAATGTTCTATTACATTTATTTACGAATTTCTCTAATTGTAAAATTAATTCGAAAACAACAATAACTTCTTTCTGTAAATAAATATTTAATCAATATTATTTTTCCATAGAAATTAAGATTTTAAAAAATTTCAAATTTAAACCTTTTAAAATTGAATAAATTTTAAGAATATTATTATAAAACATGAAGATATCGAGTGATAAAATCATTATTTTATAATCTAAAAGAATATTATTACTGTAACTTCTTCAAAATTATTTTCATCAATTCAATTATTATTTTTCAGAATTTTTAACTAAAATTTTTCTTTAAATTAATTATTTTTAATAAAATTTTAAATCCATTTGTTTACAATTCAATTTTACACGAAATTTAGTATATTCGAAAATTCTTCAATTACTTATATATTAGAAAATGAAAGCATGAAATAATTTTTTAAAAAAATTCATTTAAACTTCTCAAAAAAAAAATTAATTCTGCTGAATTGTTAGTTAAAAGTATGAAAAATTCAAATTTTCAAAGATTTTAATTTAAAACCTTTTCAAAATTAAATTATTTCTAAACATTTACGCTGTAATGCTTCTAATGTTCAATTATTATCTAAAATTTTAACTGAAATTCATTTTTTAATCAATAATTATTAGAAAATTCTTCGAGAATTTAATTATTTATTTATTTTTTTCTTTATTTTACAATCAATTAAATGCAAAAAAAAATAATTTGTTGAATAATTGAATGTTTCTCAAAATTGAATTCTTATAAAGAATTTTATCAATAAATTTTTAAATCATTAAATTCTTTTGACGAATTTAAATAAAATTTTATAATAATTACATTTTTTTGAGGAATTTGATTCAAATTTAAAATTGAATTAAAAATAATTGAAATTCTGCTATGAGTTTTATTATTTATGCAAATAATTGAATTCCTAAAAAAAATATTTTATTATTTACGAAAATAATTGAATCTGTGTAAAAATTTGCATAGTTTATGAAAATGATGGAATTATTACGAAGAAATTTCTAACAAATTTCAAAACAATTAAATTCCTATGATATTTTTATTTTTTGTGAAAATAATTAAATGTTTTCGTAGAATTTTATCAAAATTTGTTTTAAATAATTGAATTCTTTTGAAATTTTTTTATTAAAATAGTAGAGAATTTTATTATTTATAAAGTTAATTGAAATTTTGACGAAAACTTTTTTAAACTTTTGAATATAATTGAATTTTTGCAATTATTTATAACTTCTCCAAAATGAAAATTTTTTTATTGTTTTTAACTAAATGTTGCAAGAAATTATTGCTGCAAGCTTATTATGAAATGCAGCAAAGAATTATTGCTGCAAGCTTACTAAGAAATTCTGCAAAGAATATAATTGCTGCTTTTAAAGGTGGCAAAGAATTATTTTTTGCAAGTTTACAAAAAAAAATGTTGCAAAGAATATTGCTGCAAGCTTTCGTACGAAATGTTGCTATCACGATAAAAATTTAATTTAAAAAAGAAAATAAATATCAAGTTTAAAAAAAACTGGAATTAAATTTCCAATGAAAAATTCTTTCTATAGAATATGAACTTGGGTAATTATTATGATTTATTATTAAGTGTCGGCTGGAGAAAAAGAAGGGAAGAATTTCTCATTTACTATATCGAGAGGATGCAGAGAAACTATAAAACTAGAAGATATTCTTCTCCTGTAACATATTTCGTTTTGTTCAAGACTTGTTTCACTCGAACACTTGTCCGCTGTCTTTTATCTTTCTATTTTCCTTTTTATATTTTATCGACAGGTACTTACAAATATAGAGGTTGCTCGGATATCATAATGTAGCCACTTTATCGATACTTTTTAACAATTTCCTTTTTCTTATCCGTGTATATATATATATATATATATATATATATATATTAAAACCACAAAGAAGGATTTTCTTTTCCCTATAAATTTAATTGAGCTTTGCAAACTTTTTGAATTTTAATTGCAATAATCGTACTTTCGAAATAGATTTTTTTTTTTCGTTTCCTTTTTCTTATTTGATTGGGGGACAAATGGAATTTTACAATATTTGTACATATTTTCATTGATTAAGGTGTGTTAATTCAATTGCAGTGAAATCTCTCTGAATTCTAAAAGAGAAAACCAAATTTTCAAATCCCCCTTGGTACAGTGGGTGAACACACAACGAAAATTAGTTTGATGCTTCTGCTTTTAAATGATATTCGTCTCTTTCAAAGCTTTGTGTGGGCAAGATATTTCAAACTGGAAATGAATTTTCCATGTTGCATAATGAACATTTCCTGTTTTGCGTGATGAATTTTTTAAGCTAAACGCTCACTGGTCCAGGGATTATAAATTAATTTCGAAATAATTATATTATACACAAAATTTTCAAATCGTTGAAATAAATTTTTAATTTATGTATTTTTTAATTATATTATTTTTTTAAAATTTGCAGAAATTATATATACTTGAGTAAATTAAATATTTAAATAAATTCAATATTTAAATAAATTAAATATTTAAATATATTCAATATTTAAATAAATTAAATATTTAAATTTATATTTAATATTTAAATAAATTAAATATTTAAATATTTTCAATATTTAAATAAAAATAAAGATAAATAAGACATTTGAATAAATATTACAATAGAGAATTTTTTCCATTTGAGTTGAGACAAATAATTTTATAGTCAAATATATTAAATATTTATTAAATAATATTTTATTTAAAAACTGAAAAATATTGTCATTAAAAAGGAAAATTGCAGTAATGTGATCAAACGTGAGAAAAAAAAAGTTAATTGAACAACAAACCAAATAAAACGATATCTTCACTCCTGAGAGCGTAATAGATTCGTGAAGGGACCAAAAGCTGAAATCTGCAACCACCGGGAATCCTCACTTCCGCTTTCGTTTTTCATTTCGCTCTCCATCTAGCACGTTAATAACGCGCGCAATTAAAATTCCCACGTTTAACGAGCACCCAGTTGCTTAATTACAACTCTGGAGGTTCGATATTTCAAGTGCAGGAAGTTACAGAAAAAAAGGAAAGAAACAAAAAAAGGAGTCGTTTCTAAAAGATTTCTACGCAAAAAAAAAAAGAAATAAAAATGCATATTCAAATTTACAAACACATATATATAAAACAATGGGGAGGTGGAAAAAAAAATTTAACTTACAGAATAAGCAAATGCGGAAACTTCTTTTTTTCTTTTTTTCTCTCTTTACACTCGATGATAGATTAGAGGTGAATCGAGTGGAATATGTCGTTGCATTTATTCTTTTCATTAGTTTAAATTCTGTTCGTTTACTATTCATTGAAGTTGGAACATAAATGGAAATAAATGGTAATAAATTAACTTTAATCAATGAAAATTGGATTCGTAATGGGATTTTCCCTTGCAGTTCGGACCCATGACTAAAACCACGAAGGCAACCACCTTCCCAAGTTACTTTTGTACCTTTTCTCTTTCTCTTTCTCTCTCTCTCTCTCTCTCTACACTTTCCAATAACATGCTAAATTTTCAGTTCATTTCAATTCACTTGAAACTTGTTTTGGAATTAACAAAAAAACAAGGGAACAAAGCTTTTCTGTTTTAGAAATTAAATTCATTGTAGATTTATAATTAATTTTGGAAACTAAGTATTATTTATTATTAATTAATAATAATTTCTTTTAATAATAATTGTTAATAAATAATAATTACTAATTAATAATTATTATTATTTAATAATTAAGTACTTTATTTATTAAATTAGGTTAGTTTATACATTTAACGTTTCGATACGAATACAAATAAATATTAATATTTTTGACAATAATTGAAAATAGTATTATTTAAAATTGTTTCAGATGCGAGAATTCGGGTATCATCAACAAGATGGTAAATCACTTGAGGACGAGGAGAACATACGATGACATAAGATCAAATAACATTTAGGGGGAGGTCTCCAGTCTAAGTAGGTTGTTCTGTGATGAAGAACCGATAGACTAGGACCTAATGGCCCTTAACATGCAAGCCTTTGGTCCTGTCAACCATCGTCTTCTTCAACAACTCCTAATCGTTCTTCTTTTGTCCCTGCCTGTGTACGGAATGGATCTAGGTGAGCAATATGCATCTCTTTTGATTTTCAACTTTAAAATTCGAACTTTAGTCTTAAAATAATGATTAATAACGGGAAAAAACTCATAAAACTTATTCTATGAGTTACATTTATCTCTAGAGTATATATCTACACTATCTAGATATAAATAGTGACTCCCAAGCTACTGATTTTGGCCCTAGAGTTACTCATGAGTCATCATGTGACTCTTAAGACTCTTGTATACTTGTTCCATGAGTTACTTACAAACAATTTAGTATTTTCATTTTATAAATTCATCAATAATTATGAATACTATCTGAATAAACTCAAAAAATATTCTATGAGTTCCGAGAATATATTCACTCTTGTGATTGGTAGTGACTCCCAAGTGACACCTTTTGACTCTAGAGAAAACCCATTTTGGCTCTGGAGTGACTCATGGAGACTCTTAAGTAATTCTTGCAAATTTGTTTCTTGAGTTATCGCTGGTTACATATGAGTCAGCAAGCGTCACCCAAGAGTCAAAGTAAGTCACTTGGGAGAAACTTGGAAGAAAGAATTAAGAATTCTTAAGTACAGATTTTTAAAAATTTAGAGTTCTTTATGAGGTCAGACGTATTTTCTATAAGTTTTTGACAAGAGTCAAAAGCTTGACTTTCTGTAATTACTTCCAAAGATTTATAACTAATCTTATTGAGTTACCGACCAAAAAAAGAATACAAAAATGAATATGCTTTTTCAAAATTGAAGGTTCTATGAGTTTCTTGTGAGAGTTGGATATTTTTAGAGTTTATCAAACAGTTGATATAAATAGTTGTTACAAATAAAAAATTTATGACTTTTCTCCAATGTCAAAATCAGGAAAAAATGGCACATTTTTAAAATTTCATAATTACCTGCTTTATGAGTTTCGATAATAGAATTTCATAAGTTTTAATTACGGAAAATTCTACTTCTTCTGATTATAAACAATTCTGAGTTCTAATAAGAACTCTAGAAAAGTAATTTATACTTATTCCTAACATGCTTGATTTAAAGTGTAAAGAAAAAAAAACGCTGCTCTTTGAAACTTATTAAAATTATAATTTTATGAGTTTCAATACAAATTTTATGAGTTTTGTCTAGAATTGTAGTGTTAATACAAAAAATGAATCAGAATTAAGATGCAACTTTGAAGAGTTTGCAATTTTATACAATTTTATAAATTTTAATAGAATTCAGTATGAGTTCTAATTACCTCAAATTGTATTATTCCCGGTTACCAAAAACTCTTTGAATCCTGATGAAAATTTTGAAATAGTTTATAATTAATTCTAAATTGCTTGTTTAAAGTCTAAATCAGAAAAAAATGTTCCTCTTTGGAACTTTCAAAAATTAGAGTTCTATGAGTTTTAATAAAAAAATTTATGAGTTTTATCAAGAATTCAGGTTATAATACAAAAAGTCTTGAAAATAATTCTAGACAACCGGCTTTAATTACAAAATGTAATAAAAATACTGTAATTTTATTTTCCAAAGTGGTAGATTTTCAAAATTTTAGAGTTCAATAATTATTAAAAGAGTTTCCTCTGTTGGAAAAATCAGAAAAAGTTAACACATTTAAAAAGTTCCAAAATTAAAAATTTTATAAGTTTGGATAATAGAATTTCTTATGAGTTATTATCAGAACTCTATTATCAAAACACAAAAAATTTTCCTAACGAGTTCTGAAAAAAACTCATAAGAAATTCTAGTATCGAATCCTTACAAGTTATGGTAAGATCTCATAAGCAATTCTATTATGAAATGCTTATGAGTTCTTATAAAAACTCAGAGGTTTTTATGAGTTCCTATCGACGCGCAGAGGTTTCTATGAGTTCTCATCATAAATCATAACTTTCAAATATTTAAAAAGTATATTATCATCAGTATAATTATAAATTAGAGAAATATTTTTTTTCCCTTTTATTTGAATCGAGAAAATCTCCGATAAGCTTTCGACTAGATATCTGGGATAAAGAGACATGTACTGACTTGAACTTGAAGGATTTAGATCCTTCGAAGATTTAGAACTATAGGGATGCGATCTCAGGTGAAACCAAACGCGACTTGGGTTATTTCTCATGAACATTGGATGAAATCGGAAGCCTGCACCAAAGCCATTAGTTACAAGAGCCATGCAATAAGGCCAGTACGTTTTCCTCAGCATCTGGAGCTCGTTTTCGAGCACTTGCTAAAAGCCAAATAGAGAGGGTGCTTTATTTCCTATTAATCTTTATTACCCTCACATTTTTTCTGACCTACAAAAAAAAACAAAAAACTGCAGAAGGAAAAAAATATTGCAAATTGAATTTTTCTCTTTATAAAAATTTACAGTTATGTTATGTAATAACACATGTTATATATATAATAGATGCTGTATAATAATATATATATATCCCTATAATATAACATTATTTTGCGGCCGCCACTAATTCATAACCTCAAAATTAGGTCCAAGTTTAGTTAAAGTGTAGGTCAAAGGTCAGGGGTCAAAGATTAAATTAGGTCTATATTTAATTAAACTGTAGGTCAAAGAGCAAACATAATATCAAAATTAGGTCAATATTTAAATAAACTGTAAGTCAAAGGGCAAACATAATATCAAAATTAGGTCTACATTTAATTAAAATGTAGGTCAATTGTCATACGCCAGAGGCGAACATAACCTCAAAATTAGGTCCAAATTTAGTAATAGTGAAGAGGGCCAATATAACCTCAAAATTAGTTCTATATTTAATTAAACTGTAGGTCAAAGGGCTAACATAATCTCAAAATTAGGTCTATATTTAATTAAACTGTAGGTCAAAGCTCATAAATTCAGAGGGTAAAATTAAATTAAATTAATTAAAAAATGGATGACGGGCGCTCCCTTAGTGTTACAAAATAATATATCTTATAAAATAAATTTCCTATCTTAAGAGAAAAAAAATTGAAAATGAGAGAGGAAAAAATTGATTGTATAAAAAAATTACTACTATTGCTGCTATTCGGTAAAATAGCATCAGAAAAAGGTAGTGAAAAAAGTAAAAGAATCTTAAAAAAAAAGGTTTATAGAGGAATGTAAAATTTTACTTTCAATAATGTTACTACTATGACGGATAGTTTTAATAATAAAAAGAGAGGTAAAAAAAAACCTCGTCACTTATTTCGAACACAAGTAGTCGAATCCATTGTTCATATCCTACACCTATACCTTTAGGCGGATCTCTATTTCTTCTTTCTCAACGACAATAAGTTGGCGCAAGAAATTCGCTCTTTATTTTTGTCAGGACTGTAATATCGTTCGGACCATATAAACCTGGTGGAAAAATCATCTGCCAGCTCTCTTTCATATTTTTCTCTCCTCCTTTTTTTCCTTCTGTATTTATCTCTTCACTTTTCCTTCTTTTTCTCTTTTTTCTGTCTGTCTCCCTCTCTGTCTTTCTTTTTTCTCCCTCTCTCCCTCTCTACAGTTCTTGCCAAGTTTTACTTTTTTTTCCTGCCTTTACATCGGTTCTATACATTGAAAAGGTGCATTTTCGAATAACCGGAGTGTAGGTGTATATACTTATTTTTTTTCTCGAGTATTTCGCGATAATAGTACGCGCCATGTCTTCATGTAAACCTCCCTCTCTCGTTCTCTTTGCCCTACACCTGATAAACAGAGTCGGCATTGTGCTTCAGCAAATGAAATGTCAGCCACACGGTGAATTAACAATACTATCTAATAGCTGCTCAGACGCGAAGGAGTGTCTATTATATCTGCTCAGTGTTGTGTGTCGAGGGATCGTCGTTTAGCGTTGACCCGTTAGACATTTTTTTACGTAAATTAATTACGCACCTTTTCATACCAAACTCTGTTGAATGATAAGACATATTTTTTTCTCTCTCTGGTATTACATTCTCATATACTGGATTATTTCAACTTTTTTATAATTCGCAGACTTTTTTTCTTTGAATGTTATTTAAATTATACCTGGGGTGGGATTTTATTAAATAAAAATAACAATTTTCTAATAATAAATTTTATTAAATATAAATTGTAATTTAACTTTGAATTTTAATTCGATTTTGACTTTAAATTTGATGTTAATTTTGACCTTGATTGTAACTTTGACTTTTACTTTAAGTTTTAGCTTAAGTTTCACTTTAACTCTGACTTTCACTTTGATTTTAACTTCACTTTCACTTTAACTTTAACTTCACTTTGACTTTGACTTTAATTTGACTCTGACTTTCAGTTTGAATTTTATCTTAACTTTTACTTTTGACTTCGACTTTAACTTCACTTTGACTTTAACTTTCAATATGACTTTATCTTTCACTATGACTTTTGAATTGAATGTGAAAGTAAAAGTCAAAAGTCAAAATTAAAGTCAAAGTCAGAAAATTAATAAAAAAGTTTTTTAAAAATAAAGGAAAAAAATGTTTATAGATTCTATTTGTCAATTACAAATTTTAATTGAAAATGAACTTGAAATTTTTAAAATATTCAGAAAATAAAAGAAACAATTTTACTCAAAAAAATGTTCCGTTACATTTTTACAAATTTCGATCGATTAAAAAATTAAAATTTAAAAAAAAAAAAATTAAATTAAAAAAAAAATTAAAAATTAAATTAAATTTCGATTTTTATAAATTATAATTTATAATAATTAAAAATTTATGAAAATAATTGACTAATTGCAAAGAAATTTATAAAAAATTTGTAAATAATTAAATTTCTATGAAATTTTTATTATTTTTGAAAAATAATTAAATGTTTGTGTACAATTTTATTAAATTTTTTTAAAAATAATTGAATTCTTTTCGGAAAATTTTATTAAAATAGTAGATATTGAAAATAATTGATATTAGAACAAGAATTTTATTGTCATTTTTCAAAATAATTAAACTTTGAGAAAAAGCTTTGTTATTTACAAAGATAATTGGGATTTTAAAGAAAATTTTTTTTTAATTTTGAACATAATTGACTTTTATTACTTTTGAAAATAATTGAATTTCTACAATTATTTGTAATTTTTCCAAAATTAAATTTCGATTTTTTCATGTTTTATAATATTTTATCCTAATAATTAAAAATTTATGAAAATAATTGAATTATTGCGAAGAAATTTATAAAAAATTGTAAATAATTGAACTCCTGTTGAATTTTTATTAATTTTAAAAATAATTGAATGATTGTTTTGCAAATTTATTAAATTTTTTTAAAAATAATTGAATTCTTAACGGAAAATTTTATTAAAATAGTAGATATTGAAAAAAATTGAAATTAGGACAAGAATTTTATTGTCATTTTTGAAAATAATTGAACTTTGAGGAAAGATTTTGTTATTTACAAACATAATTGGGATTTTGACGAATTTTTTTTTTTAATTTTGAACATAGTTGAATTTTATGAGAAGAATTTTATTACTTTTGAAAAAAATTGAATTTCTGCAATTATTTCTAATTTCTCCAAAATTAAATTTTTTTAGTGTTTTCAACAAAAATTTGAATTAAAAATTTTTAAATTCAATTATTTTTGAAATTGCTAATTTTATTTAAAAAATGAAGTAAAAAGTTATTCGCGCGAATTGTTGCTGGTAATTAAAGTAAAATTAAAAACAAATGAAGGCGAAAGTCAAAAAGTGAAAAAGTGAAGGCGATTTAAAAATGAGATTGCAAGAACCAAAAAATGTAGTTGATAACAATAATATTATCGACGAGAAGAATAAAACCACATTCTATCAGTTTTCATTGAAATTTTCAACTATTTTGCTTGAAAGACAAAAAGAAAAAAATTCTTCCAAAAATGGAAATCACCCCAAACTTCGCGTGTAAATTTTTAAAACTTTATTATTACTGAATTTATAACGAGACCTGAAAATTATTAACAATTGATAATGTACATATAATAGATCATAACTTTGCTTCGAACACACTTTGTAACGATTTCCGACGTGTGGGCTAAAGCAGGCTAAAGTCCCGTATGCAGTAACGTATCTGAAGTTATATTGGCTAATAATAACTGTCAGGAGTGGCGGAAAGAGTATGAGAGCAGGGGGGTTGGTTTGGTTGGTCAAGTTTTGTGTATAAGCCCATGCCCACATACACGTGTGTATACATTTATCTATACATTTCGAGTAGAAATACACAGGCGCGTGTGTGTGTAAATATATATACACAAAGCTAGGCAATTCAGCCTGAGGCCAGCTAATCCCGCGTCCGCAACATTCTGCAGTTTTGAAACTTTCCATCGGTGTATAAATGTGCGCCAGTATTTCCGTCCAGTTCTGAGTAACCCACCCCTCGTCCCACTTCATATACTATGGAGATTGTGGACGCCAGAAATTATCACAAGCTATGCCAGACATTTACACTATTTCTAAAGAATCACCGTTATATACGAAAATATTAATTTCAAATGGTAAATATTCATCATGTCTGTATGTTGTGGAGAAAAAGTGGTATTCTGAGAGAGAGAGAGAGAGAGAGAGAGAGAGAAATAATTCCTTGGCTATGAGAAAAAATGGCTAATAAGTGGAAAAATATTTTTCAACGTAGTATATAAAATGGAAGAATAAATAAATTATAAAATATCAATAAGAATTGGATTCTAATGCTTTATACATATTTTTGAAATATTAGAAAAATTACGAAAGTAATTATATTTGGTGCGAGTTTCAATTCGAAATCGTTAAATTTCATTACGGTTTTGATGAAACTTAACGTGGCTCCAACTGAAGTGATGCGCTGGAACTTTAGGTCAGCAAGTGGCTCCATCTGGAGGGACGCGATGAAACTTCAAGTCCACACGTGATATTTATGTTTTAGAACGTAATTAGGACATTTCTTGCAACTCGCTTAAAATAGAAAAGTAATTAACAAAGATACTATTCTCTTTTACGATTTCAAAAATAATATACCAAAGGAAAAGAAAATTTCTTTCTTTCTTTTTTCATTTAGAACAAAATCCTATTAATTAAAGCTAGCAGCACTAAAAGTTGTTAAGTACTCTCCGAATTCGCTAGACTCGCACTTCTTCGACTCAACAATTTCACCACTTCAAAGTAACAAATCTATGATAAAAATAAAATTAATTGTCCCTTCTAGTGCAATCCTATAGTTCTGAGACAAAAAAACAATTTCAAAAATAATTCCACAATTTTAATTAATTTTTCCAATTAGTAATAACTACCAGAATGCAGTCTTGCAATTTAGTTTCGAAAATAAGAAAAATTAATGCTTGTAAAAAATCAATAATTTCATTGACACTGGCAATAAATAATATATATATAGAATATAGAATAAAAATAGAATAAAAAGTGATGTTAAGTTAAATATTAAAATTTTACAAATTCAAAGCAAATGTCAATAATATTGATGAGAATAATGAAAAATTGATAATATGTACAAAAAAAAGTAATGTCAATAATTAAGAAAAATTTAAAAATTTAATTATAGTGGGAAAGTGTAATAAAAATCAAAGAAAATTGAAACATTTTCCTAAAGATAAACGTGTTTGAATTGTTACAGGACAATGCAACGCAGCATTGGGAATGGAGAGCGGGGAGATTCTGGACGAAGACATCACGGCCAGTTCTGCGTACGATCCCAGCCTTGGACCGAAACATGCCAGGTACTGAGAACAATGTCGAGGTCTCGAGTGGTCCACTAGATTGCCCAGAATATCTCCTAAATGAAGCAAGGCAGGACGTTCACTCAATGAATAGATAATTAAACAGAACAAGCCATTGTGCCCTACTAAGACGTTTCATGATAATGAACCCCTTTTGGAATTATTGTCAAATTTAAACCCCTCAAGCCAATTTCATTTACAAATCCTGTTGAAATTAAACAGTAAATAATCACATCTACCCAAAACATAGTGAGGAAATAAGTAGTAGAAGAGAATTAATTTTTTCTACTACTTACTATAAATAATAAACAATAACAATTAGTAGACAATAATAAACTATAATTGAATATTTTTGGAATATTTAAATAATAAACTATAATTTAAATATTAAATTAAAATTTCTTGTCACAGAAGATTTGTATTATTGCTCTTTTTTGAAAGCTGGAGATTGAGAACTTGAAATACGTTACATTGTAGAATTTATTCTACAATTTCTTTTCGTCAAAAGCGGGAGAAAAAAAAGAAAAAGGAAGCAAGTCAGAGAACGTATAAAATATACAGGTAAAATATTTTAACTAATCTGACAGATGATTGTTACGTTTTTGGATTTAAGTTGGCTTTTACTAAATTGAACAAGAAAGGAAGTAGACTAAAAGCGATTACTTTGGAATATAAAATTTGATATCACTTTTATATTCTAAAGTAATTGCTTTTTATATACAAAAGCTTTTCGTAACTTTAAGACGATTAGTTCTAATTTTTCTTTAAATATTTCCAATAGCCAGATTTGGGCCTGATTTAAAAGAGAAAATGCCTAAGCTTGGCACCTATCAGGCCCAATTGGGGATTTATTCTAATCGAAATAAAATTTGACTGAAACGAGTGTTTGCAGGCTATTTAGGCATAGCATCGATCTTAGCCCCGATCTGCATTCTCCATTTCATTGAAAATCAGTGACATAAAATTAATATTCCACGAAGTTTACTCGAATTTCCATTTTCACGTCAGAGATCATATCGCTTTTGATAAGCAAGAAACATTCAGTTTCGCATCACTGGCCTACTTCGTCATAAACACTATTGTAGAAGCATTTCTATTATTCTATAAAGTACTCCTCTCTCTTTCTCTCTCCTTCTCATGAGCAGAGATTTCTCCCTAAATAGTCGTACATCATTATATGGAAGTCAAGATATAACCGCTGTATATACATTGAAATATACACATAGCTCGGCATGTACTTCACACCGGACAGCTTGTGCCAGTGCAAAGGCACGCATTGCACTCGCACAAAGGGAAAGCAGAGACGTCGTAATGCCTCTTCCAATTTATGTGCATCTCTATGAACCTCTCAAAAGGGGCGGCATTATGTTCCAGCAAGATTATTGTGAGAAATGAGCCAAGAAGAGGGTAGGGAGTTGGAAAAGAGACCCCCATTCTCTATCTCTCTCACTCTCTAAAGTAATGGAGAGAAAGTGGAGAGGGGGTGAGAGAGAAACGGTTGGGGGCGAACTAAAGGAAAACTAAAGACAAGAAAAGCGAGCTTGAGGGTGGAAAATTTACGCGGTTTGTAAATGAGATGTCTTATCAATGCTCGTATCGATAATTTAGTTCATCATTTCAAAGATAGTTGATAAAAATGAGTACGCATTATAATGAGAAAAAAGTAATTAACCCTACTAGTGCCCTGAATCACAGTTCTTCCAAGGATATCAAATTGAGACAAAAAAACGAATCAAAATTGTTGAGAAGCAACGTTTTTGATTCGTTTTTTGTCTCAATTTAATATCCTTAGAAAAACTCTGCTGTTCAAAACCTCAAAACTTTTCTTCTCCCCGAATGTTTGCTGCAAGCTTGCTACGACTTGGAGAATTTGAAACTTGCACCAAGCTTGCTACAACTTAGAGAATTTGAAGCTTTCACCAAGCTTGCTACGACTTAGAGAATTTGAAGCTTGCACCAAGCTTGCAAAACTATCACAGCAAGATTCCCGACCAATAGCCAATAAATAATTTACCACAATAAATATATGACGAATCCCACGTCTTATTTGCGTGATATGACCAAAAAGGACACGCTCATAAATCACGTCCCAACATTAAGGGGGCAAACGAGAGAAAAATACACTAAGCTTCATAGAGACTGGAAAACACGGTAGACGACATTTTCAAGCTATATATGTATATAGCTACGTGTAAAGTGGAAAGATAGCTAGGTGTCTATGATCATATACCTAAAGGCCATAGACCCACCATTTTTCCTGCCTCTCGCTGAAAGCCGCACACGTTAGTATCGCGATACGTCCCCACCCCCCACCCCCTGTCTCACCACCTCCATTAGAGGGAGGGAAACTCCCTCTATATCCTTTCCTTCTTTACAACTATGAGAATCGTGTTCTCTTTTTTTTCTCCTCTTCTCACCAAGGGCTTTTCAATAAGTTTCGAAACGCGAGAGGTGAACCTCTTTCCACCCTCAACCTACCTAACCCCACCCCCCCCCCCCCTCCCCGCACACCCTTCACCTCTTTCGCAGCTAAAGCGATACGAATGGCTACTTCACTACCATATACGAAAAGTTCTTTGGAATAATAGCCTCTGGCCACGTACAAGCTTTGACCCCTATCGATTCTTTTCGTATATTCCTTCTTCTTCTTCTTCTTCTTTGTTCAATTCAAAAGTAAAAATACTTAAGGGTTGAAATGGCAGGAGACCTGAGGGTTTTCTTTTTTAAGGATCAACTAAGTTTACTCAGGACAACGTATTATGCAGGGCTCGAACCGCAGTGAAAGTATTTTAAAATACGGACTTTACGGACCAAAAATAAAAAATTGCGGACCATTCACGAAACAATTACTGAAACTAATTACTTAAAACTATAAATTAAATTTTAAGCTATAAAACATGAAGATATCGATAACTCCGAGTCTTCGACTCGAAGTGATCGATTTCTTCATGTTCTATAATAATTAAAGATGACCGAGTGATGAAATCATTATCAATTCAATTATTATTTTCAAGAATTTTCAACTAAAATTCTTCTTTAAATCGATTATTTTTAATAATTTTCGAAAAAGTTCTTTGTCAATTTTTAAATCAATTTGTACAATATTCAATTATTCGTCAATTCTTCAATTATTTAATTGAAGATAAATTTAATAAATAATTATTCAATTCAATTATTCAATAAATAATATATCTAATAAATAATTAAATCTTGAATTCAGATATATTAGAAAATAAAAACTTAAAATACAGTCGAACCTGGATAAGTGGTCCCTTGATAAGTGGGAATCCTCTTTAAGTGGAACTTTCTTTGCAGTCCCTGCACAAGTAATTTGACCTTAAATGACCTGGATAAGTGGAATACCTCTATAAGTGGAACAAGAACTTTGGTCCCTTGAGGTTCCACTTATCCAGGTTCGACTGTAATATAAAAAAAAACCCGCAATTAAACTTTCTCAAAAAAATTACTTCCACAGAATTGTTAGTTAAAACTTAAAAGTATGTAAAATTCAGATTTTCAAAGATTTTAATTTAAAACCTTTAAAAATTCAATTATTTCTAAAAATTCACGATCTAATGCTTTTAATATTCAATTATAATCTAAAATTTTAACTGAAATTCATTTTTAAATCAATTTTTATTAGAAAATTCTACTAGAATTCAATTATTTAAATACAAAAATACATAATTAATTGAATAATTGCATGTTTCTTAAAATTGAAATCTCATTAAGAATTTTATAAATAAATTTTTAATAATTAAATTTTGTTGACGAATTTTAATAAAATTTTTAAGAATAATTCCATTTTTCAAGGAATTTGATTAAAATTGTACACAGGAAATGAAAACTGTTGTTTTAACCTGAATTCGGGTTAAAATAACACGCAACAAATTTTATTCTACGAGGGTAAAATTTGTTGCGTGTTATTTTAACACAAATTCAGGTTAAAACAACACTTTTCATTTCCTGTGTATTATTTACAATTTACAATTTACAGTTAATGATTTATAAAAATACTAATTGAATTCCTAAAAAGAATTTTATTATTTACGAAAATAATTGAATCCCTGTAAAAATTTTATTATATATGAAAATAATTGGATGATTACGAAGAAGTTTACAAAAAATTTGTAAAATAATTGAATTCCTGTGAAATTTCTATTATTTCATGAAAATAGTTAAAAGGTTTGCGTAGAATGTTATTAATTTTTTTTTTTAATAATTAAATTCTTTTGGAAAATTTTATTCAAATAGTAGATATTAAAAATCATTGAATTGAGGAAAATTTTTGAAAAGAATTGAAATTTTAACATAAATTATATTAAAATTTTTGAAAAGAATTGAAATTTTAACATAAATTTTATTAAAATTTTTGAAAATAATTTAATTTTGGAGAAGAATTTAATTATTTTTAAAGATAATTGAAATTTGGCCAAGAATTTTTAAAAATTTTTAACATAATTGAATTTTTGTGGAGAATTTTATTACTTTTGAAAATAATTGAACTTATGTAATTATTTGTAATTTCTCTAAATTTCTCCAAATCTGTTACAAGCTTGTGAAAATTTTGCATTGTAATCTGGTCAATATTAGTTTACAGCATATTCACTGCAAGCTTGCAACAACTTTGCAACATTTTGTAGTAAGCTTTCAGCAATCGTGCTGCATGCAATCTTTCATGTCAATCTTACAGGAACATTTCACTGAAAGCTTTCAATAACCTTTATAAAGAAAGCTTTGCTGTATAGTGGATATTTTGCCATCCTACACAAGCTTGTGGCAATTTTACATTGTAATCTCGTCAATATTTCACGATAAGCTTCCTGCAAGCTTGTTGGAAGCTACTATGCTATCACTGATAAGGGGAAAAAAGGGAAACGATAGAGGTCAGATAGGTGCTAGGTCAGGCTGTAATCGTGGCTCATTAGAGCCAATTTAAACCCAAGTCATTCCACTAAATTCCACATTAGAATCAAATCCGAATATTTGTACGCAACGATTTTTATTTAGACATTTCCGACTAATTTCTACAATTTCGATGAGAATTTTTCCAATGTTTACCAAATTTGTTTTATTCCATCAAATTCCATTCTCTTTTTGTCAGGTTTTTAAAGATTTTGTCGACAGTTCCTTTTTTTTTATGAAACTTTTCCATGTCACAAAAACTAGTCCGATATGGCAAGGATTTACGGTGCACGAAACTATCAACGTGCACTAACAATAGAACACGTGTTCCAATTTTTCTTTTCAATGAAGATAGCACATACGTCATTCTAAAAAAAAGGAATTTCTCTTTTTTATTTGTATATATAAAAGGTCATTGCATTACAAAATATAAAGTTTATAAAATATAGAAATTCTTTTTGTTCGATGTAAAAAAGAATATTTAAATATTACATTTCCTTTCGAATTTTCTATAAATAAACACGAGTTGAAAAGAAAAAATTTAAAGTAACATACAATTTTTATAAAGTATCTATATTGTTTTTTCTTGTCAATTTTATTAAATTATATAAACGAATGGGAAAATTTTTTGTTTCCCTGTCTGAAAGTAAAAATAATTCCATCAATGGTCTCTTTATTTATATGTATACTTTTTTTTGTTTTTTGTTTTTTTTAACATTCGAAAGAGGAATTATTGATCCAACGAAATTAATTTTTCAGAAATGCTATTCGCGATTCTCCATGCGGAAAATTGTGTTGAATTGACTGGCTATTTGGTCATATTGCTATTTTCACTTCCTTCTTAGAAGAACGTACTCAATGGCGATGAAATCTGGACCATGTTTTCTTTTTCTTCTTTTTTTTAGTCTTTTATCTTCAAAGTCCTTGAAAAAGAAAGATGGCGCTCTATATGGTCGATATAATTGCTTGGAAAAATTTACCGGTCGAGCGTAACTCCAATACGATGGAGGCTTGCTTCTAATACAGATTTATGAGACCTCCCTCCTAACATTTAGAGCCCTGGCATCTAATACAGGTATTATACTGAAAATTTATACCGAAATTGGATGTTATTTGTAAATTTCATAGTCATATGCATTTCTAATTCCTTATTTATATATATTTAAAAAAATTAAACCTTGAGCTGACAAGATATTTAAATTTTAGATATGTGATTAAATAAATAACTCATAATGACACATGTTTTCCATTTTGTCGATTTAAGTAAAAAAAGGGTAAACAAAATTTTTTTTTCTTATCGTGTTTGTAAATATTAATTAAGAAAACGTCAAACACAGCGTAGGGGCCATAAGGGGTAGCCCTATTTTAATTAATTTTCACTTTTTAACTTATTTTTTTTATTTTATTATTTTAAACCTAAATTATTATTTTAGTATAATAATAATGCTTTAGATTTTATTTTACATGAATTTCAATTACTTTGTGATCAACCGAAAAGGTTCAAAACAGTCTTATCCAAATTTAGACTAGTTTTAGACTACACAGTAAAAAGTAAATCTTAATTTAAGAGCTGCCTTAAATTCAACACTGTCTGCTATAATGTTAAAGGATACGAAAAACGTGCGTAAATTCAACATTGACTGTCTTAAAAATGTTGCATCTTAATTTAAGGCAGCTTTCGTGCCTTAAAATAAGATTTTCTTTTTACTGTGTAGTTTAGACTAGTTTTAGATGAAACTAGTTTTAAACAAATTCAAATTAGTTTTCTTTCAAATAAACTAGTTTTGAATTAAATAAACTACTTTTGAACAGATTCGAACTAGTTTTAAACGAACTGAAAGAGTTCTGAACGAGACTCTTTTGAACAAATTAAAACTAGTTTTCAAACAAATAAACTGATTGTAACTAGATTCAAACTAGTTTTAAATCAAGTAAACTACTTTTGAATAGATTCAAACTAGTTTTTAACCGGATCAAAGTAGTTTCGAACCATTTGAAATTATGGTGAAACCGATTGTACTCTTTATAAATAAACTCAACTTGTTTTAAACCATTTCAAACTAGGATTGAATCAATTCCAACTTGTTGAAAACCGATTTAAACCAGTTGCAAACCGAACCAAAGTAGTTATGTGTCAACTATTACTAGTTTTGTCATCAATTTAACTTCATTCAAACTATTTTAAACTAGTCTTGAATCAATTGAATCTAGTATGGGACAAATTAAAACCAGTTTTGAACAAATTGAACTAGTTTTAATTTGAATAAATTAAATTAAATTAATTAAATAAACGCTTAATCGAATCAAACTAGATGTGAACTAATTTTATATGGCTTAAAACAATTGAAACTAGTTTTAAAACCATATGAACTAATGTATACCAGTTCAAACTATTCTCCAGACGATTTAACTAGTTTTAAATCAATTAAACTTTTTTTGAACAATTTTAAACTTGGTTTGATCCAATTCAAACTAGTTTGAGGCCAACTTAAACCAGTTTGGAATAAATTAAATTAAGACTAACTTAAACCAATTTAGACCAAAATTAAACTAGTTTTAATTCAATTTTATTAATGTTTAATCAAATCAAACCAGTTTTGAACAAATGTATCTTATTTTAAATTAATTAAAACCAGTTTGAGTCCAACTTAAATAATTTTGGACCAATTCAATAACTTTTAATTCAATTAATTTATTGTTTAATTGAGTCAAATTAGTTTTGAATTAATTCTAACTTATTTTAAACCAGTTCAAATTGGTTTGAGCTAATTAAAACTATTTTCAAATCGATTTAACGAGTTCGAAATCAATTTAACTTCTTTTCCACATTTTATATCATTTTAAAACAAAAATAAAATGTTGAGCAACAATAATAGAGTTATGTAATACTAAAGATAGTGAATTATTTAGATAACTTTGAAAAATAATGGAATATTTTTCAAGAATTTTACACGTGTTGTTACTTATGTATAAAATACATATATATGAACAATTGGACATTCTAAAGGACACGTGTTTTTAAATTAATTTTCAAAAGTACACCCTTGAAGATTTTTACAAATATTTATCAACATGTAAATTTTTATAATTTTTACATATTAATTTATATATATTAGACATAAAACATTACATAATATTATGTAATGTTTGTTATTGCATAATATTTTTTTGTCACTCACTCCTATTATTACGTTATATTTGTGAGACACGTGTAAATTAAATATTTAAAATAAAATTTGCGGTTAATAATTTTTTAATAAAATAGATAGAAATAATTTTCTGTTTTTTGTTAATTTAAACAAAATCAATATTGAATGACGCATTAAATGAGTAAGTATTATAATTTATTTCTTTATAAAGACCATCTCCTTTGACATCAGTGTATCATTAACCATGTCTAAACCAGGAGTAATTTTCTTCACGACTATTTGTCTTCTACTTTTAGTAGAAATCTGTTGGTCACGAGCCGTAAAGGTAAGAAATTTAATCTTTTCTATTTTACAAATTTTCTATTCACACAATTCATCAAATTTCTTTCTTTCAATTTTATATGTTAAAATGTGTTTTATGATTAAATTTTTTTTTTTGCAGTCCAAGAAAATAGATGGTATAAAAATTCCACATGAATTGAAGTTACCGTCGAGCGTAACAATGCATATGGTATTAATTTATTTCTGTTGATTTTTTAATTTTACGAAAAAATTGCTATATGGTATGAAATTTTTACTTTTTAGACAAAGAAGGATTTAATTCATAGAGCTTTCAATTGGTATACAGCAGAGAAGAAAGTTTCAAAAAAGGTATATATTTTATTTCATTGTAAAGTAAGAAAATATGTTTATTCATTTATTTATTCCTTAAACGGGTCAAATAAATTTTTTAAAAAAGTTTTTTCTTTATAAATGAAATTTTTTTAAAAATAAATTTGACAGGAGAAAAATTAAAATCATTTTCCATTAAACTCATTTTTTTCACTTGCAGTCTGACGAAGAATTGAAAGCAATTGCTTTTGCTTGGATCGCTAGTGTTACTAAAGAAAGAAAGGTCCGTAAGTTAATTAACTAAATTTCGGTTAAATAACAAATTTACAATTTAAATATTTAATTATTATATATTATTAATATATTATAAATATATAAATTATGTTTCTTATAATTGTTATAAAAATTTCTTACAAAAATATTCATTTTTTTGTCTATATTTTGGGGTAATAATAAATTAAGTGAATGCTCAAATTATTTTTTTAGAAAACAAGAAACGTCGTTACAACTACGCTTTCACCAAGAGATAAAATATTAAAAGATAATGTAATAATTTTTATTATTTTTATTTATTGGAAAAATTTTTAATTTATAATTAACATTCTTTTTATCCTTTCAGCGTTTGAGGCAAATAAGTCGTGAATTATTTAACCAATTAGATACAAACAACTTTACGAAAAATAAGGTAATTACTCTAAAGAAACATAAGTTAGAATTTTTGTTATAAGAACTTCAATGTTAATTTAATGTTAAAAAGAATTTTTTTTTACTAATTTCAACTAGATTTTGTTTATTGTTATTTTATGCCTACATTATATTAAATAGAAAATTTCATTTTTAATTGCAGCCCCATAAAAAAAGTATTAAACCTCAAGAGGATAATTATCTGACACTAAAGGTATAGTAATATTTTAGTTTATTAAAAATAAATTCAAATTAAATTAAACTAAAATAAAAATTATCATATTACCAGTTTTATGCAATGTCTTATGCAATGATAATTTAAATAATATATACATATATCCCGTGTGGAAAAAGCCCAAGTTCGCCCGAATAGAAGTCGGTTTCTGGTCAGGGGCTAGATGGACTAATTTTTCACGTAAAAGGAATATCAGATCTGGTGGGGGACAAGTCGGGTTCATTTTTTTGAAAGCCTTACTAGGAAATACTTGAATTCTGGACAGTTTAATTTCAACTTAAAAAATTTAAAGTTATTATCTTGACATAAAAGTAATATTTCTTAATCCAGAATTTCTTTTTTTATATTAATAAAGTTTTTACCTGCCACTGAATCTGCATCTTTAGTTGAAAACTGGAATTTTTTTATTTTGACTTCAAAATAACAAACAAAAATTTTCAGTTATCAAATTTGACACAATAACATACAATAAATATATAAAAATAGAAAACATTTAAATATAGAAAATATAAAAAAAATAGAAAATTATATTTAAATTAAATTATAATTATATTTCAATTATTTAAATGTAATATGTGTAAAAGTTTAGCAAAGTAAAATTCAATTATGCAAAAGGTTTAACAGAATAATTGTTTAGGTTACAAAAACTTAAACAAAGTTTATGTGTAAATTATATTTTTACCTCGATAAATTATTTTGTTTGAAAATTCTTCAGAATATATTCTTTTTTTACAGTTGAAATTATTCTTCTATTTCTGCTTCGAATTCTAATCTTATTGGTTATAAAGAAAAAGATAAAGTTTTTTAACCCTCAAAAATGACAGTTATAAAAAAGATGAATAATTTCACATTATTATTTTAACCTTTTAATTTTCAGGAAACCAAAGACATAAAAACAAAAAATTTTCCAAACATTTCCTGTGCATTGAATAGCTTACTTTTTCTTTTAAAAATAAAATTGAAATTTGAGCAAGTCTTCTTTGAAGAGGTTGCTTTTTTAAAACCTAGTGCGAGCAGTTATTGTTCCAGCATGTCAATTTGACATTTCAATTTGTTTTTGCATATAAAACACAAGTTTAATTACGAATTAGTTAAAAAAAATAATTTTCAAAAAAACATTATAATATTAGTCAGGCCCTAGTAGAGTGCTCTTAGATTTCGCCCAAATAGCCACCGAATAAAATGGTGTATCAATTCTGGCTGGGATCCAGCCAGAAGCCCGATAAGTGCCCAGGTTACGTCTATGATCCCTTCCCATAACACGACTAGCGCCCAACTTTAAGTCGGGCTCCCCGGCCATGGCACGGCTAGAGCCCAGATTCAATTTCCACACGGGATATAATAATTTATTAATTTTTAAATTAAAAAAAGCTAAAAATAAACTTTTTTTTTCAGTTGAATAAGGACGCAAACGAAATGGATTCGTTTAAAGATTCATTCGTTTCGGTAAGTAATTACTACTTTTTTTTATAAAATGAAAATATTATTATTTGAATTTTTAAGTTAATTTAATTTAATTTTTTTTTTCAGTTTACATCCGATAAATCGAAATTTCAAAATTTACTTGTCAGAAATAAAAAAAATTAATGTAAAAAATGATCATCAATATTCACTATATAATTATAGAGAAAAAGAATGAAGCAGTATTACTAAAAGAAACATTTCATCGAATTTTAGCTGACACATCCAAATTTTATATGTATGTAATTTATACTAATAAATTTTTAAATAAAATTAACTTAAAGAAAATATTTATTTATATCCATAAAATTCTCTCAAAATTTAAGTTGTTAATAATTTTGCTGTTCTAATCATATTAATAATTATAATTAAATTCTAATAAATACACTGATAAAAAATTAATTCGATCACTTTTCTATTGTTCGAATAAATATTTAAATGAATCAAATAATTATTAATGAATTAATTAAATAAATTTAAATTTGTATTTAATAATTAATTAGTCAAAGAAATAACATTTTATTGATTAAAATAAAATTTATAGTACAAATAAATATTCCTTTAATTAATAAATAATCAAGTAATAATTTCTTTGAATTAAATAAATTTTTTTTTCAACTTATAAAAAATAATTATAAAAAAAATTCAATTATAATTATAAATAAAAAAAAACATAATAAATAATTCATTTAATTATTAAAAAATTAAAAAATCCGTTATATTATTTATTATTAGAACATTAGAATTTGCTGAAAAAAATTTCTTTTATTTGTGAAACATTATTTAACTCTCTGCTGATGCTAACGACCGTTATCGTCAAAAATCGTCATTCTGGACGCCTGGTGGGGACTATGGGAGTTACGTTCCTTGGCGATAGAGTGGGGATAAGTTAGCATCAGCAGAGGGTTAAATGAATTTAAATTGAAATTAAATTTTCATAAATAACTATTTAAAGTTTAAACAGTATAAAAATAGTCAATATTTCAGTTGCTTAAAAAATATTATTATTGTTTGTTAATTTAGAGATAAAAATAAAAATTTTAATTTCTTCGCTACTTAATAATAAATGCAAAATTTGTATAATAATATTCGCCCATATTTTTTATTATAAATTCTTTTGTCAACTATGTGATGAATAAAAAAATGTGTGTGTGTGTGTGTAAACATCACATTTTCATAAATATCTCGAAATCATCAAGAGCTTTTGGGTTGAATTTTTTTTAAATTGTAGATCTCACCTGCGGACATAAAGCGAGAGTACTTTCTGATATATTAATAAAGTTTAACTAATTTTTTTTTTATTTTTAATTTTGCAAAAAAACGTTTTTTGCCCATAACTTTAAAAAAATGTTAGGACACCTATAAATGTTTTTCCATAATTTTGTAGAGTTTTTTTAGACGCATCTTTTGAGCTCTAATTAAACATTTTTCGTCTATATTAACCGGAGTTATTAAACTTTTAAAAATCAAAAATTTTGGAAAAAAAGACTTTTTTGAAAATTTTGTTGAAAAACGTAGAAGTAACTTTAAAATTATCGTTATCAACTTGTAGAGCATTAAAAAACGCTTCGATTGACCTATTTTTGAACCTAATTCGATAATAAATTTCTAAATTATTGGTTTTTTTCATTTAAATGATAAAACATGAAATTAATTTTACTTTTCTTCATAATTTCATATTGAAAAATTTTATTTAAATTAATAATAAAATAAAAAAAAATGTAACTTGATACATATTAAAAATATTATTTTGAATAATAATCGACAACTATTTGACAAATACATAAAATAAAGAAATAAGAGAGAAAAGAATATCAGAAAAATTATTTCATTCTTTACTACAAATAGAATTTAACATTCACTGGATATATAATTATTTATTTAATATTAAATTAATATATTCATAATAATTTGTATTAACAGTTGTATTTATTCAGAATTTAGTCTTTTGAACATATAAATATATTATATATTAAAATAGGTAATTAACATTCTCGTGGAATCGATAAAATAATATTTTAGAGACATGCTAAACACTATTATAATAAAATTTCTAGTTAATTATTAATTTCATTATTTCCAGTGTATAATTACGAGATACTTTAAAATTCATATTAATGGTTTACAGCTGATTCAATAAAGACAATATCTACCAGTGTATTTCACATTATTTTGGATAATATCCTTTTTATCATAATGTAGTTGCTGTACTTTAAATGATATTTATATTATGTAGATTTATATGCACTGAGCTGCATTTTATTATTTTACTATTTTTTATCTCATTATTTATTTGATCCACATTTTTAGTATATTAATTCGTTGTAATTTGATACTTTAAAATAAATAGTGAATTTTTAATTCTACCCTTTAATTAACCATAAGCATAATTATTTGTCTAAAGAAATTTATTAACTGAATTTTCAATTCAAATTCAATCAAAAAATTCAAATTCATACAATTTTATGTCCGACATATTGAATCCGGCATTTTGGATTTTTAAATCCAAATAGTAGATTCAAAAGTATCGACTAAAAATTTTTATATACAATTATAAAAATATGCAATTTTTTTGCAAAAAAAAAATATATATCTTCCTTCCGTATGTGGTACATTTCCGGAATAAAGTAATCCAGTGTGTATAAAAATGTAAAACTCAATTTTTTAGAGCGCACAGTAAAGAAAGAGAGAAAATGGTTAAAATAAATGCAACCAAAAATTTTCAAAGGTCACTTGCCTGTGAAAAATATCTTCAGTCATATATATGATTATATAATATAATCTCCTTTCCGTCTTTCTCATTTCATTTTTGTGCATGATCCTCTGAGAAAATTTATGGTCGCGGAAAATAAAGCAAATGGATTTCTTAATATACGTAATGTATATATATAAAAATTTTTTTTTACAAAAGAAAAATTGCATAAGCACTGAAATCTTTTTCTTTCTATTTTCTACTTTTAGTTTCCAGTATCATATCATCTTTGAGAAAGTTACCTACTATTGTAGAGAGCGTAAGATGTACCGAGTTAGGATTGACGGTAGAAGTCTGGAAAAAGAGAGGGGGTGAGGGGGTGGACTTTTGTTTTTTGAGAGCAATCGTGCGATAGAGATGGACAATTTCGTTCTGCCGCCGCAGAGAAACCAATCTCTCTATTGGACGATTTGTGTAGAAAGTAGAATGCTATAGGCAATGTGCACGTCCCGTCAGCGACGTTGAGAACGTTTTAATATCGCCCCGAGTCTCTCTCTCTCTCTCCCACTACACTCTCTTTTTATTCTATTGCCGACAAACTCTCTTTATACTTCGAAAAAAAATTTTCTTTTTTTTCTGCCCTTTTCTTTTGGGAAAATGTTTAAAGAAAAATCAGAGAAGAAAAAAATGGGTCGAACAAACGGTCACTTTCACGGATCACTTGCTTAATGGTATATTCGACATCACATTCCCCGCATATTCGATAACCGTTCTTACCTACTCGAGATTTTAACATTGGCAGTTCTTTTCATTTTTTTTTCCTCTTTTTTTTTGAGGGAGAATTTTATTCGACCGGGAATTTCAATAATTTAGTTTTCAAGAAAAGGGGAAAATAAAAATTCTCTGCAAAAAGGAATTCGAATAGAAAGGTAAAAGTCAATTTTTTTTATTTATTCCTTTTCAAAAATTTTTCAAATATGTTGAGAAAAAAATTTAGTTTTTTTTTGTGATGGTAGGAGAGCGAAATTTTTAACATTTCCCTACCGTTTAGTATGATAATGATTTGTGGCTTCTAAATGAACCTCTCTTAGGAAAAGAGATAAAATTAATTCTAATTATCGGTTCAATTTCGAATGTCAATTGAAATTTGCAATCTGCATAATATGCCTATAATTTCAATGCAAGTCTGGATTTCCATACATCATACACCTTAATTAGCCTAATTCCCTTACTGTAATAATTAATTCCATAACACACTTGGCCTCAAATAGTTCAAAACCGTGTGTGTAACAATAAACATTTCAGATGCTATTTCGTCAGGATATGGAAAAAAATATCTATTATGGTCCAAATAGGGAAGAAATAGGGCTAAAATTTAGGGCGAATGAAAATTTTTCCACCTATGGAGTAATTGAATTGAAATTTCGAAAAAAATCAATTTATTAACGTCGCACCATAGAGAAATAAGCTAAAATAATTAAAAATTCGAATTCACACCATTTCAAACCGATTTGTATAGTTCTAATTCTATTGAATTTTTAAAACCATTTTTTAAATCATTTAAAACTATTTAAAACTAATTTTGAATTAATTCAAACTAGTTTCAGACCAACTTCAATCATTTTTTAACAAAATTAAATAAGTTTTAATTCAATTAAGTTTAAAGTTTAACCGAATCAAATTAGTTTTATTTTAACTAGCTTTTTGTAATCCCAACTAGTTTAAAACCAACTCAAACTAGTTTAAAAATAATCAAACTAGTTTGTGCCAATTAAAACTACTTTCAAACCGTTGTAACTAGTTCTAAATAATTTTAAATCATTTTAAACTATTTCAAACTAGTTTTGAAACAATTAAGATTAAAAACAACTAAAACTAGTTTTGAACAAATTCAACTATTTCAAATTCCATTAAATTAAAGTTTGATCAAATAATACTAGTATTTAACAAATTCAAACTAGTTTGAGAGCAACTTAAACTAGTTTTGAAGAAAATTAAATAAGTTAATTCAATTAAATAAAAGGTTCAATTGAACCAAACAAGTTTTAACTTAAACTAAACCTAACTAGCTTGAAACATAATTAAACTAGTTTAAAGCCAATTCAAACTAGTCCTAAAAAAAGTGAAACTAGTTTGAGTTCAACTTAAACCATTTTTTGTTCGAATTCAACTAGTTTTTAATTTAATTAATCTACAGTTTAATTGGATAAAAGTAGTTTCGAACTAATTCAAACTTGTTTTACACTGATTGCAACTAGTTTTGAATCAATTCAAACTAGTTTGAAACCAAGTAAAACTAGTTTTAGTTATAACTCAGAGCCTACTGAATTATACATATTGAATTCAAATAAATTTTATTTGTGCTAAATAAAATTATTATTTAAACAAATAAACAATTTAGTTGGCTCTGTGACGAATATCTTTTAATTTGACTCAAATAAATTATATTTAGTTTAAAAAAAAAATTCTTTGGGTGTACCAATATTATAATTTTTAGGGACAAGGACACGTGT